TAAAAAATTTTTAAAATTTTTTTTCCTTTCCAAAAAAAAAAAAAAAAAAAAAAAAACCGTGAACAGTAGCTTGGAGTGGGAATTGGCTTTCCTTAAAAACCAAGAAAATATCATTTCCCAAGACAAGTAAGAAAATGGAATTCCATGAAAATTAAAATGTATCAAACACACAAAATTGAAAAAATGTGGAATTCAAATTCCATTTTCCATGGAATTCGAACGAATCAAACAGACCCTAAATTGAAAACGAAATTCAGGAAATTGAATAATAATTTTATTTTTTTAAAAAAATTTAGTTTTTTTTTTTTTTTTTTTTTTGGTATATCAAGTTCGACATTGTGTACGTTGATAGCCTTATTGTAAATTGATTTTGACAATATTCTTTTCAATTAATGACCAAATTTTCTACATACGAGGAATACATCAAAGATGTCAAAGAAGAACGTACAAATAGATCAATTCTTAAAATATATAACCAAAAATGGTAGCTTGGGTAATTTGTACCAATGGCATAATTAATGCAAATAATTGGCACGAGATGTTGCGCTTGGGTAATTTGTACCAATGGCATAATTAATGCAAATAATTGGCACGAGATGTTGCAATCTTGGTGTTGTTGATTGGAGTAATCCACTTCTATATTAAATGGTTGGTTTTTAATATTTTTTATGTCGACTCGAATTCAATTATCCTTTCAGGTTGAGTCGATCATGATCCTTTTTTTTTTTTTTTTGGCCTTTTTAATGTACTTTTTAATCCTCATTTACTTTTAAATCGTGACATCGTAAGTGTGAAATTTGTATGGAAATAAAATAATTCTTGACAAAAAAATTATTAATTAAATGTATTTGATTGATATAATTTTTAATATAAATAATATTATAAAATTATAATTGTCCATATTTTATTTATGGATAGACAAAAGAAAGAGAGTGAATTGCCTGAAAAATAAAAACACTTCTCTCTAATATATATATATATATATATATATATATATTTTAAGAAAAATATGACCTTGTGTCTAACTTTTGAAAAATATATTCTATAAAAAAAATGTCGGTCAAATACTTCAAAATTAAGAATTTGGGTTAAAAATGACATTTTTCATGAAAAATAAAGTCAATCAAACAAACCCAAAGGTCAAAAATGACTTTTTTTTTTTTTAATTTATGTGTTTGACTTTTGTTCTTTTTTGTGATCAAGCAAATATGAGGCATCTCTTCTAATTTATTTCAATTTTTATTTAATGCAAAATTATTTATTGTAATAGAAAAAAAGAGTTTACTTAAAAAAATAAATAAATAAATAAATAAATAACAGTATTATAGAAGTCAGGCCAAAAGTATAATTTAACTAATTGTAAGTTCTCTCATCCCAATTGAAACAATAATGGCAATTCGTGCGATGCTCGCAGTTTCTCGAAACCGTTCGCTCGCTACTGCTGTACTCTCCCGCTACCGATTTGTGAGTACCCTATTCAGCTATTCTTTAACGCCATTACTGTTACATTCTAACAAGCTCACATCAAAATGAAAACCAGGAGAAGAAAAAATTTAATTTTCACGTATTTTGACAAAAAATCAAGTATCTGCTTATCAGAGTCCGACTTTTACTTATTTATTTATTTTTGGGATCCCTTTGTTTTTTAATATTATTTGATTGGGATTTGTCGTTTTTATTCAATCAGGTGATTGTGTTTGGAATTTCTTCTTTAGAATCCTGTATTCAATTTTTATTTTTTATTGCTTGTGGCTTATTATGCTTAATGAAACAACACAGAAGAAGAAAAAATCAATTTAATGGCATATATAATGTGGACTTTGTAAGGAGTTTGATTATGTTGAGACGAAGCGAACTGGTATAAGTTTGTAACTTAACCGGATTAAAACTGAGTTTACCTCTGGTTTGATTTCTCACAAGCTAAATTTGAATTACTTCAGTGGAGCTGAATATGAGTCGAGCTCGAGTTGTTTATATTTTATTGTTACTTATGCTGTGCAGCAAAGCTCGAACCTAACTCATAAATTGACAAACATTACAATGTGTTCGAATCTAATTTATTAAGTTGCAAAATGACTGTATTCTTTTAGATAAAAGGAATATTACTATCAAGCTAAAGCCGCAATGTGTAGAGTTGCTAGAAAAAAAAATTTAAATAAATGGATAAATTATTTAGAAAATAGTATCATAGCAATCTGGGTGTTTACAATTTGTTGGATTATTAAGCAAAAGGGAACTTCATTTTTATGATCATCCCCTGGCTTTCATAATAATACCATTCGATGCCATGATGTATAAAAAGTGTAATTGATTGAAAAAGTGTGACCCCTGAATTGTAATTTATAAATAGTCTGCTGGTATAGAAATTGAGGCTTATCATTGAAATTGCACTGGAAAGTAATCCAAAAACTGATTTTAAGCTCCTTGATGTTTTAGTTCCTCTGAGTCTTACATGTTTCAACTAAGAGATTGCCACTTTCATATAACTTCTTTAGGATGTGCTTTTGGTATGAAATAATATTTTAGAATTTCCATTTTCCAGTGTATGTGTCGTGTTTTTCATGATAATTTTTCACTGTTTATATAGATCAGCACATTGGTTTTAGCTGAACACGAAGGAGGTTCTATTAAGGCTTCATCATTGAGTGCAGTAGAGGCTACAAAGTCTTTGGGTGAGGACAATTCTGTATCTATACTGCTTGCAGGATCAGGTCCTTCCTTACGAGAAGCTGCTCAAGCTGCTTCATGTCATCCATATGTTTCTCAGGTACTTCAACTTTGGATTAGAATGTTTCATGAGTTGCCTTCTTTTGCAATCATTTACAGTTCCTTCCATCTACTTTATCTTTATCACGTCTTGTTCGTGGAGTAAAGTTGGATGCTTAAAGAGGGGTTTGTATTATCTTTGGAATTTATTATTCATGAAGGAGCAACATTTTTAGCTCCTCCTGCTCTTGTGGATTTCTAATTTTTTACGATGGTTCTCTTGTAGGTGCTTCTTGCTGACTCAGATAAGTTTACGTATCCTCTAGCAGAACCATGGGCCAAACTGTTACATGTGGTGCACAAGAAAGGGAACTACTCACACATAGTTACTGCATCAGATTCGTTTGGGAAAAATATACTACCTCGTGCAGCTGCTCTTCTGGATGTTTCTCCAATCACTGATGTCATTGAAGTTAGTGGGTCTCATCTTTTTGTCAGGTACTTACAAAGCAATCCTCATGGCTCATTGGCCAATGGGTACTTATGGCCTGGACCGTCTTTGATTTTGATTCCAAACAATTTACATTTAGATAATTTTATGCTCTAAAGCATGGTTTACAAAAGAAAATAGAAGCTATCAAGTTTGATTAGTCCAACTGCAAATCATTAGCTTGGGCTGAATGTATAGAGGATAATACTTAGCTCCTAACCAAGTTGAAGGAAATCCAAATTGGGTCTCACTTTAATAGCATGCCACTAACTTCTATCCCTACTGGCAACAATGCAGACAAGTTCTTTTAGTTTCCATATATCTTGGGCTTTTGAAAGTGCAAAGGAAGTTACATCTTCACCATGGCTAGACACATATAGCAAAATGCATACACAAACCAATTGGAGTTATTTCGATATGAATAAGCCGTAATTTGAATATTAATTTGTGATTGAATCGACTTGAGATTCGGATTGTTGATCAGGGGACAATAGACTAGTTGATTTGTAAGCAATGCCCGTAAATGGTGGAACCTTAAATGTCACTGGTGTCTAAAGCCGTGCTTATATATAGCTGCTCTGCCTCCTTCAGAGTCTGATAGAATATGGGGAAACCTTTGTTAGTCTTTTTCTGTCATTATTCTTTATTCAATCGTATAAAATGTTATAAAGGGTAATCTCTAATTGACTACAACATGTCCCACGGTAAGCACATGTCACAAATATGTTACGTTTTAATCGCACGAACAGTGTCGAAGAAGTTACTCTTCATCATTTTGGAGCAAATTATTGATCTATTATGGATCTAACGATGAACTAGGCTGATACCATACCACAAAACAGCATCTTGTTTGGCAGATTGAAACAGAGAAGGTGTCTTTTGCTCATCGCAAGCAGTTCCAATGGTAGACATTAATTGGGTTTTCTTATGTATGGCAGGCCAATATACGCTGGTAATGCTCTTAGTACCATTCAGTACACGGGCTCAGACCCTTGTATGTTGACCATTAGGTCTACATCTTTTCCTGTAGCATCCATGTCGGCTCATTCAAAATCTATTGCTGCAGCTATTGAGCAGGTTGATCTCTCAACCTTCAGTGAAGGTTTGTCATATAACTTCTCCACAAAAACATTGTAGTCTCTGTAACATGCACATGTATTTGGAGGAATAAAGTGGTCAGTCACCTTTATATTGTGGCTGATAGCTAGTGGTTGATTTAATGCTGTAGGTCTAATATTTGCTGAATATTTTCTCTGATTAGAGACTATAATTTGGCAAGTTTAGTTATCAATGAAAAACTATTCATCATTTCAGTCACCATGACGAACATTTTTTCCCCTGTTCATAGATGATGCAGTTGGTAAATCAAAATTCGTGAAGCTTTCCTCTCAAGATACAGAACGCCCAGATCTGGGAAATGCACGTATTGTGGTCACTGGAGGACGAGGTCTAAAAAGTGCTGAAAATTTCAAAATGATAGAGAAGCTTGCCGAGAAACTTGGTGCAGCAGGTTTTTCCCGATACAGCTTTTCTTGTGGTTTGGTTCTGTAGGTTATATTATTACTTTTGTTGAAAAAATCAAAGTCGTTTTGTTCTATGTCCCCTCCCCTCCAGCCACAAGCCCCGCACCATCTTTCCTTTTTCCATATGAATGTTTAACTGCATTGATTTTTCTGGTGAACTTGAGTTAAAAAAAAAATATTTTTTAACAAATTCTGAACTCTTGTCATGAAATTGTCGACATAGATCAGTTTTTGAATTCGTCATATCATACAAAGTAACTTTACTGTCCTTTCCCTATAGTTGGTGCAACTCGTGCTGCCGTTGACGCGGGATTTGTTCCTAACGAACTTCAGGTAAGATGTGAAATTGTTCTTGGATGCTAGGATTTCAATATTTGGAGGGCAATGTAAAATAATTACATAGATATCATCTAAGCCGCCTATGTGGTTCTCTCTCTCATCCTCGCATGAGAATTGACTGCTGCATATTTTCCGTTTCGTTTGGGAGCTATAATACTTGTAAAACTTATAGAGTTAAATCAATGAATGCTCATTAAACTTTCAGAGGATTACTACTTACTCTTTGAAAATTGTATCATATTACTCACCCATCTATTAAAATATTTCCCATCCTAATCTGTTTACATCTCTTGACGGAAAAGTCTACGTGGCTAACGAAAGTCCCCCTTGATACTCAGATGGCGTTAAATGCTTCCACCTCAGCAAAAATGCAATATTCCAAAAGGGCCAAAATAGATGGAAGCGAGTTTTATTGATGATATCAAAGTGCTGAGGAAATCAAGGTACTGCCTGAGGCGGAAGCATAATGCTGTAGGAGTGATAAGTAGGATTTCGTCAGCCATGTAGAATTTTCCATTATCTGATGTAACGGATTTTAATGAATACTGGATGAGAAATTTATGGTAGATGAGTAAGTAATGAGATACTTATTTTATGATATACTTTTTTTAGTTCGGTGAGTGAGTTGTAATCTGCTAAAAATTTAGTGAGCATTCGTTGATTTTAACCCAAAACTTACATTTTCCCCTCCTTTGTGGTTGGAATAATATATTTTAACTTTGCAATTTAAGGATTTTTTTGTATCTGTAACTTGACACATAATGTGGTTTTACTTTGCCATTTTCCTTTCCCAGCTTAATTGAAGAGCCTATCCTCTTTGAATAGTCTATTACTTCTTCCATTGATGCAACATTTGTTTTTGTACCAGGTTGGCCAGACTGGGAAAATTGTGGCCCCTGAATTGTATATGGCTTTTGGTGTTTCTGGAGCCATTCAACACTTGGCGGGTATTAGAGACTCTAAGGTCATCGTTGCCATAAATAAAGATGCAGATGCACCTATTTTTCAGGTCCAACTCAAATCATCTCACACTCCAAAATGCAACAAGAATATGAGCAATCTTGGGAGTAACATTTTCGTAGTAATGCAGCTAGATTCATATATATATTTTTTTTCGTATTTAAATTTCTATAGAATCTTTGAAAATTATGTTCCTTCCAAAGATATAGAAAAGAATTTATTTTGGGGGTCTTATACTATACTTTTTTTATCAAGTCTATAACATTAGTAGTGTCCCCCCCCCGGACATCATTCTATCAAATAAGTTTATTCCTAACGTTCATCTAATTATTGTGTCTGATTGCTTGTATTTTCGATGGCTTGATGTTTATCTGCGAAAAAAGACTTGTGCGCTAAGACATTTGCTCCATTTTCAGGTTGCTGATTATGGAATTGTGGGTGATCTTTTCGAGGTCATACCGGAATTGTTAGAGAAACTTCCTGAGAAAAAGTAGACCGGTTATCCATTTTGAACTCACAAAATATGGAAAACAACTGACAGATTTTCAACGTTCAAGGATTAGATGAATAATTCAGCAGCGAATCATACTTTCAGAGCTCTGTTCCTCTTTTTGCTGTATATTGTTGTACTGTGAATTTGCTGATCTCAAAATATGTCAAATGGGCCATTGGTTTCCCAACTTCACTTGAAGTTCTTCTTGTCCTTAACAAGTGCACAAAGGAGCCTTGTTAATGTTGGATGTCGAATGGTGGATAAAATTGGAGAATCAATATCAGGTGTAGGTTTCGAATTTGTGGCTGTTTCATGGTACTGCTGTTTTCTCCAAGTTTAAAGAGAATAATGATATAGAGATAATTGGGAGCGTTAAATGTTTTACTTTCTATTCGTTTCTGGTAACATGTTTGGAAATTGATCACAAGTGATGAGTTCTACGAAATGTATGGATAAAAACTAAGTCTGAACATGCACAAGTTGAAAAGCTTAATGGCAGTGTACGACCGTCAGCAAACTTTTGCTACAAGCATAACCTGACATTTTGGATACATGGTAACCGTGTTGGATAAAATGAGACACCACAATGGATAAGTTTCAACTTCATTTATTTTCTTTACCATCTACCCAAATATCATTGAAGCCATGTTATTCTTGAGACTTGTTCATGCATACATTTTCAAGTAGGTAAATAATTTATATGATATGAAATGTCGTGTAAATGTAATGATCCAAATAAGAAATCGAGTAATTTGCTCATTGATATGAGTGATGATTTGCATTGGTACGCTCTACCAAATTGCTAAAAATCAAAAGTTACATAATAATTGAACATAAAAACATGAGATAAAATTTAAAATTCAATGAGAATCCAATCCCATCTAAACGAAATATAATAACAGTGCAAAGGATATAATTTTCATCTTTTGCTCAAAAAATCCAGTGAAATATGCCATATGCGTAAAGGTACTGTAATTTACACACTATCTTGGAGCATTATTTAACTTCTCGGTATAACATCAGAAAATGAAAAATCGTGGAAGGGAGGACCTGAAACAAGGAAGATTATAAGAAATGATTATTAAAAGAAAATATTCGATAACAAAATTAATAATAATTGTTCCGATTTATAATCAAAATATAACAAAAAAGAGACCCTTCCTCGAGGAAAAGATTTTAAGAAATATCATAAACAAGCTCTGAGTATGACTGAAACAGTTGATAAGTTAGAGATAATTTCCATTAAAAAAATTAATAGAGAGAAGGTTTACCTTCTTGTGCACCTAAGATATAGAATGGAACATGAGCAATCATTTTTGAGCTGGCTTCATTCCAATTCACAGTGCCGGGATTCTGCGTGCTTTTATTTGAAACCGAAGGCCCCAAAATGGACCAACATACTGCAGGTTCATTCATTAAACCTAAATAATCGCATGCACGTTTCCAGACCCTCACATCTGAAATTCGAGAACGAGCCACCTGCAATAATAACACCGTCTCACATCTAAGTTGCACGAAATGGGTGCCAACGTGCAGGGCGTATTTCTACAGACCAAACACATTGGAAAGCAGAACTCAACGTGACAGGACAATACTATGAACTCATGTGTAGCCTTCTTTTTCGTCCTGTCCAGTCCATGTATCATGTACCAAAGTGCACTAAATGAAAAAGAATAATATAGTGAAACGTGACAATTCTGACCTTTGCCAAGCATACACGGGTTCTTGGTAGTAACTCACGATGATAAGTGGCGAGCTTAGCAATTGCAGTCACAACGAAACATAGAAGCCTCGACTGGGATGATTTTCGGACTGTTGAACCAGAGCCAGGGGTTGATTCCCATAGACCCAAACGACTTCCCAAAACAGAAGAGAACATATGAATCAGCATCAAAGACGCAACCCAAAATGTCAAGCCTACCATGTCAAGAGAATTGAGAAAATTCTAATGTACCTCGAAGAAAGGTTTTCATATAGAAGTAATTCCAAACTCTCAAAAAGTTCACGAGCTGCATCTTTTTGAGATTCACCGCCACCGCCATACTCCCCAATTGCCCAACATAACTGCAATGCCAGCTCAGTCTGGAAAATATTCATAAAAGAATGTTGAACAAAACATTGTTACATGGATCAGAGAAAATAAATTTCCTTGCAATTAAAAGATGCGTGCTCTGTCTCAACTAACCTTTGCAGGATTCTCATAAGCCTCTCCAAGTCTGTCCACTATTGGCTTCTGCAATGCATTTTCAGATAGATATAATCGGGGGAATGAGGGAGTAATATTATCGTATATAATCATCAATCATTCCGAAATGGGAACATAAGTTTGCCTCTTGGCATGCCATGAAAGCAGCAGATATTCGTTGAAGGAAGCAGACATAGATGTAACGTGTGAGCTAACTTAATACTGACAGAGGCAGTGAGGTTGCTAAATTGGTGACAAGGCGCTCAAAGAAAATCAGATACATCCTTCTGAAGGTAAGAATCATCAAATATATTGTACAACTACCCGAACTTTCAGTAATAGGTACTGCTCCTTAATATAAATGAAAGAAGACTCTCTATAATAACTAACAAGGGCTGGGCTGCCTATGAAATATATAGAGCTCACCACCTCGTCTTTATCCTACAGGCGCAGGAGAAATTTGACCTCTCCTTATACGTGATTAAACATGCATGGACCACCAATGCTTACAATAGGCCAGCGGGTGGAATGAGGAGAGGGCTGGGCAAATCATACCACGGCGGTCAAAAAAGCGTATTCCCTTCAGATAAGACGCACCGTAGGCCATCCTCGTAACGTCCTCCGTACAACACTTCTTTGTTTTTCCTGCATTGGAATAGGCATGGAAGCTATCTTTTGCAAAGTCTTTTACTTTAGTTTGATCTATAAGTTGGTCAGTATGTAGAGCCGTACAAATTCAACGAGAATTCCCTGCCTTGCTCTAACTTTTTACATTCTGGATTGCAATTTTGTCATCGCTCAGAGAGACATAAGACAATACGACAAGACGTTTGGCCTTAATGATGAACCCTAAATCATCCATCAACTAATGCGATTGCAGAAATTTCATGATTGCTGAATTAATGATCTCTGTATGCCTATCTTGAAATTATGTTTAGAGAAAAAGAAAAATTATCAGAGAATACCTTAAGAACGGCGATAAAATCGGGAGACCGGTGGAAGGCAGCAAGAATAAATTCTAAGAGCCTCTTTTGAACCTACAATTCATGCATAAATTGCATCATGTCATGAAAAATTAGATTTAAAAGCAAACCCAGTGGGATGCATAAAGAAATTGAACTCCTAGTGTGCGCATGTACGAAGAGAGAGCGAGAGGTAAACACTGTGTAGTTGGTATAATGCACCATGAGAAATGAATTGCATGATAAATTGGGACTTTTCCAACTGCTCTATGTTAAATATACATAGCCCCTGTTTGGTGGTTATTAAAATCAGATTTTTTGCAGATTTTATAAAAGTTGATAAAATGTATGGTTGAAAAGTCGTGAACTCCATGAAATATGTAGTTAAAATTAATTATTGACTATGATTTAGATTAAAATTTTGATTTTAATTTCCACCAAACAGGGAATGTTAATATATGAAAACCACATAAATAAAGGTCATTTACAGGATCAACCAATCAGGTCAAGAACAATGATGAGCAAGCTACAGATCATATAACTAATTTCCGTGCTCTAGAGGAAGGTTTCCATTGTGGATGCCACTATGTTTCCTACCTATGTCTGAATGTCACAATAAAACAGGAATAAAAAGGACCTTTGAATGCAATAAAGTACACATACATTTATGAATATTTCTTACCTCATACAAGAATATCCTGTCTGGAAATAATGTAGTATATCTTTTCATAACTAAGGGAATCAAAGCGCACAGGAGAGCTGCAATGGGATATTTTACAATCAGCACAATATCCAGAAGAATAACCATTCCAAATTAAGCAGTTTACAGAAATGGCCTTTGTTAGCTAAAGGTACTGCAAAATGGTATGGACGTACAAGAATTGAAATCACAGACTGCTAAAGCAAAATAGGCATCAAGAAGCCTAGGTGTCATTCTGAGTGCTTCTTTCAATCTATCAGACTGAGGAGCACTAACCACAGCCTGCAGAGCTGCGGCCATTGCGGGAGATGTCCAATGGCGTTCCTGAAACATCAAAGACATGATAAATTATTTGATTTCCTGGAAAGGATTGTATTTATATCAATAATTGACTCTGTAAGACACAAGTTACATTCATATATCTTACTGATCGCGAACTCATACTGTTGCTTATTATTGGAATTCATGGAATAACCTAAATTAAAGACCAATCTTCCATACCTTCTCCACCACCCTTACTTGTTCAATCTAAAAGAAGGCCAACAGTGAAAATTATTCCTTCCAATGTATCAAATAACTGAAATGGCAGTTATCATCAATAAATCAGGAACCATGTCCTAATTAAAAATCTTTAAATTGGTAATATTCAAGACCATTTGGCGAATTTATCTATAAGTTTTTGAGAACTCTTGCTCTGTTTATACTTCATTAAGATCATAACCAATTGAAACGTAAAATCAAGATATTGGAGAAACAAGGATGTTCAGTGAAACCAAGTCATAGTTTCAGTCACAATCACAAATGAGGTTGGGAAATCGAATTGAAGAAAGAAAGGAGAAGCACATACTGCTAGGCAACTGTGAAATATAGCCACCCCCAACATGTGCACATGCAAACGAAACAAGAAAGACAACTAATTGAAAGATAAAGAAAATTAAATCAAAAGGAACAAAAAGAATAAAAGATAAAGCTCCATTCCCAAATTATGCAGAATTAAGTGATTTTCTATGCTGAAAAGATCGATCTTTCTTTTATTGATGCTATCACACCAATTTCATGATTAGACAGAAAAGTTCATACTGTGAGGCCATCGTTCTCGTCCTTGAGAAGCTCAAGGAAGAGAGGATCAGCTACAGCCATCGTACTGCTATCCTCAGATTCAGAGTCCGCACCTCCATCCCCTATAGTTGAACCGGTATATGCTTCATCCATGAGATCAAATAGCATCTGTGTCCAAAGAGTGGTGTCCATAATTTATCACGAGAGAAATTTTTTGTTTCATAGTTTGCTGAAGACCGTAAAAACCTGAGGAGCTGCGCTCTGCTGAATTGAAGCTATGCTGCCTCCAACCAGTGACCCTGCAGTTCTTTCCACCTTTTCCAATGCCACAACCAATACTATCCAAGGCACAAAGAAGGTTGTCATAATAAAAAAGTACATGCAAAAAATTAATGAAAAGCTGTATACAGCTTAATAACATTGATGATGGCTTCCTTCACACTGTTGTTGTTAAACATTTGAATTATTCTA